CACACACACACACACACACACACACACACACACACACACACACACACACACACACACACGTACCAATATGGCGGCAGTACCTGAAAGTATACCACTTCCACCGCGGCCATCGCTGTCACCGTCGCCACCATTGCCATCTTCATCTCCACCACCGCCCCCCCCTCCTCACCACCACCATCGCTACCACCATCATCTTCATCACCAGTACAACCATCATTGCCACCACTCCCCCTGCCGACATCTTCTACTACATCAACCCCTCTGTCATCCGCCTCCTCTACTCCCTCCTCTTCCTCCTCTCCTTCTCCCCCTTCCGCCACCTAGCAGGCCTCCTCTTCATCATCGACCTCAGCATCATCAGCGTCATCACATTCATGGCCGGATCAGCCGCGACAACGGCCCCGTTGTCGGACGCATACATCGTTAGATCAACTGTTGCAGATGCCTCTTCGGCGGGTACGTTCTCCGTCTCTACCGCCGCCTCCAAGACAGAGGCCTGGTTTATCCTTGAGCAGCATGATCACCGCACCTCCTGCAGGGATTAGAGATCTTCTTCACCGGCATGCTCGCAACCGTTTGGAACGTCATCGCCGCCTTCGATACACGTTAGCCAGGAATAGTACATGTGGAGTCCGATGCCTGCAATGTGGCGATTTTCTTCAGTGCAGCAGGCCTGCTGCGTGTGCACCAGACACGAGGTGCAGCTACTTGTGCAGCGTACGGACGACTGGCAACCGCTCTGAGCACAAGTGCGGCTGATCAGCGTCCGCTTCCCGCATCAAGTCCACCCAGTTCTCACCCCCCTGACCCGTCCCTCTCTCATCCACCTAGCCCCGCTTGCTCCCCTGCCCAGTTGACAATGACCCGTCCTCTGATTACCTGATGGAGCCCCCGATTGAAGATGATCTCTCTCCGGAGCGCATTCTAAAGCCAATTGATCAAAACAGCAATGAGTCTCCGCCACCTGTGCAATCTGCAGAATTGAACGAATCTCCCCCTGCTGTGAATGTATCTCCCGTGCAACCTGCGGAATCAGACGATGTCGTAGCGCTACTGTGCGGCTGCTGTGCGTGCTATGCCATTAATGTATGTCTCCTTGCTTAGAATTGTAACCCTTGTACTGTTTCTGATTTCGCAGACGTTGTCCACTGGATAGAAGAAGAGCACCGTGCCGTCTGCCGAGAGGTCAGTGCTGCACCTGGTGTGAACATAGAAGTCAGTGAGGCTGCTGTGCGGTCTATGGCATTTATGGGTAGGGGACTACAATTCCAGCCTGCTCCACAAAACCACGTGCTAGGCATGGATCCGAATATTCGGGCACATATTTTACATCCTCCAGGTCATTTCAGTGCTCTGGCCTTTGCGGATAATTCATGGACCCTATGGAACAATGGCGGTAGGGTGCACACAGCGGGAAATATTAACTCTTCCGAGGATCACTCAGTCTGGCTCGTCCATCAGGAACAGTATGTCGATGGGCACTTGCCAGCATCGCACCCCCCATAGAGCAATCCGGCTGATTCTACCACAAACAGTGAAGGGACCTCTCCAGAGGATGGTGGCTGTGCCCTTCCTTTGTGTTGTGGCATGCACACGGCATAGCCTCTGGTCCGAACACTATGAAGGGATGGTCACTGCTAGGCTCTCCCACGGAAACTGTGATCCCATGTCTTGTGCTCATCCCCCACAACCCCTGGTTACCTGCCCAGCATGTCGTTGTGGCCTCGATCTGCCATGCTTAAATAACTGTGTACGCCAGCCTTTCATACTGATGACATGTCAGCAACATGCCGTATGCCGTCAGTGTTTCCAGGAAGCTGTCAGAGAAAGAATGTGTCTTTACTGTGTGGATTATCCCCGGCGCCATCATCCTCCACACCCTTTCCTAGCATGTCCCGTATGCGGTGTTGGTCATACACCTACGGGCTACGGCAACCGCAGACAGATCTCCCTCTTCCTTGTCAGACGAACGACAGACACAGAAGCCCGAAGAGGAAAATAGACTTCTATATGAACCGTCTGCAGGGCAATGTGCTGATAGTTAATCACCGCCAGGACGAGCTGTTGCGGACCAGATCCTGCAGCAGCTGAACACCCTTGCTTTCGACCGATCCTTCCTGTTGCCGTCTGCCCATAGAGAAGGAATAACTACTGAGGAAACCCAAGAACAATGCTCCCTGCCGCTTTGTCATGACCCGGCGGAGATTCAACTAGCATGTGGTTCGCATGCCTTGTGCCGTGAGGATTGCAAGTTCTTGCTTTCATACGTACGACGACACTCAGTACTGTACTCATGTACGTCACCCTGACCTGTCATGTCCAATTTGTGGACGGGCTGGAACGGCAATGCCTCTATAATTGCGGCCGACGTGCCTCCGTCACCCTGACCTGTCATTTCTAATTTGTAGACAGGGGTCGGAATGGCGATGCCTAGACTATTGAGGTTGCCGTGCCTCTGTGTTCCTATCATGTAGGAGGCACGCAGCCTGTGACATCTGTCTGCACCGCACCATTTGATGCAGCAGCTGTGACTGCAAAAATTGGATCGGGAAAAAAAAAAAAAAAAAGTCCACACCTGAACCGGTCCTGTCCCGTCTGTAGGGGTGGCCACTTTTACCATAGGCAATAGGCTAATAGGTTAATAGCGGCTCCTCAACTCAAAATCTTATGCAACCCAAACACACTGACTGACCTCATGTGCCATTCACATATTTCTCTCCTGCCTTTTGCCCTCCACCTCCCCCTTGCATTCAGACTCGACTTATTCACACTTTTCATGCATGTGAACAGGAACACACAACTGGCGGCTTGCACCCACACAGTACACAGAGATATGTCTTCCAGGTAAGTTCGCTTCCACTGGCTATGGCGACTGTGCGCCTCAAACACTCACTGTTCACACTCTGGATCACCCTGGATGTCCCACACGCGGTACTCAGTACACACACACAGTACACACACTCCTCCTCTAATGTTACATACTTCAACGAGTATGGGCAGAACCAAAGATCAACCAATATAGGATGAGCATTTATGCAGCGGAAGTCTGATAAGGAACTGACTCACATAGACTGACTCACATAGACTGACCTACATGGCATCACTCCACACACATACAATCATGAGATGGTGGGGTCTGGGTCATTCACAGACGATACCCAGATCCCGTACACACATACACAGGTGAAAGGTGGGAGGAGAGACGAAGGAGGTAGGAGGTAGATCACACCGATAGGTCACAAGATAGAGTCTGGTAAGTCTCCGAAAGGGTAGTCCAGAATGTCATATAACAAGATCAAAATGTCGAGAACCAAAGGTCACCAATGTCGGAGATAACCGAGTCCAGATGTAACCGGTGTCCAACTGTGATGCAGCCGAGTATCAACCTCAACAATCTCCAAGTCTCCAATCAGGTAAGTACCACAGTCTCGTATCACCGAAATCCAACCCTGATCTCTGTCCAACTGGATAGTCTCCAACTTGAAGAAGAAGAAGAAGAAGAAGAAGAAGAAGAAGAAGGAGAAGAAGAGGAGAGAGAGAGAGAGAGGGGACTGGCGAGGGAGAGGAGGAGAGATCCTCCAAGCTCCCGGTACCTCAGGCGGCAATGGCCGCCGTGCTGGTTCAGTCGCCCTGCTGCTGCTCCGCTCGCTGCTGCGCTAAGCTGCGCTATGCTGCGCTCCTGCTTCAGCCCCTGCGCTAAGTTTAGCGCATCAAACAGTACGCTGGTACTGACCCTGCCGTGCCGGTAGAGTTCCGGTAGGCCGATGCCTCTACTGAGGCAGGTACCGGTACTTATAYCGGTAGGCATTGGTCTGGCCTCAATGCTGCGAGGCCAGGCCAGACCCTGGACCGTCCAGATGGACGGTTCAGCCTCAATCGACGGGCGGCAGCTTCAAGAGCGCCGCGAGGCCCAAACGAAGTGTCGCTTGGGTTTACCCGATGG